AGAATCGTGCAAACATGATTTCGGAGGCCTTCATACAGTAGTGGATCGACCAAGGCTGATGATGATGATGATGATTTTATGAATATTCCAAATTTATGGCAATATTTTATTTTGCAGAGTTGTAACAGTGGTTCTGCATTGGCTGGAATGTAAACAATACTGCAAACGAAGCACGGTGATTTCAGTTCCCATTTGTTTGCCTTTTAGACTCTGCCCAGTGACCCCACACGCAGGAGCTCGAAGCTACAAATGTTGACCCGTCCCCCCGCTCCGCCCTTAGCATGCAGTTTAAAAATAGACCTTGTTTTCAGAATTCACGAGGCATAACGCATCATCTTCCATGCTAAATGAAAAGTACCGCTCCGAGTAATTTACACAATCGCATTGTGAGCTGACAGGGTACTGTGCGCCCTGGGAGCGATTGTTTAACGGCGCTTTGTGAACTTAAATGATTATTAATATAATTGCTGTGCAGTGGATTCGATGACAATGATAACGCAGCTTTATACAATTGGTCCACGTTTAAGACATGGTTCATAACGTCTAATTGCAGTGCATGAACAGAGCCCGAGGTACACTAATGAATTTCGACTTTCAAAAAACTCCCAAGCAATTTACCAAATTGACTGTTAGATCACAAACAACATTATAATGAACAAAATAATACATGAACCCTGATATTCGAGACACAGCATTCAAATACACGTGGCAGTCCGGGTATAATTGGCATCTATTGTTAGGTCAGATGAGCACTAAATATTTGAAAAGTCAGAAAATGTTATGTCATGTCAATATAAAAAAGTATTAAGAGCACGTTTAAGGTCCCATTAGTTGGAGGCTCTTCAGACAGCAGTGGAGCGAGCAAGAAATTACAGGGCTGCACTTTTACCTTTAATCATATACAGTGCTGTACTATATGAGAAAATAAGAAAAGTTTTGCTGGCTAGCTGGGTTCCTGGCTGCCTGGCTGGAGCGTTGATGGGCAAGTGCGCCGTGGTAGCCTTACCGTGCATATTTGCGTAATGACGTCACCCTCATTCAACAGAATCATAATTTTTATTTATAATAACTGGAGGAATCCGATGAGCTATGAAGCTCTTTTTGACAGATGTCCAGTTCAACAACAAACAATGCAAAAACTATAGGAGTTCAAAATAGAGACGCACTGTAAGCAAGGCACTATAAATAAATACATAATAATGCATTGCTTACACAAGTTCGTTTTCTTTTTGTTTTATCAGCTTCGAGCAGGGTTCGTGCGTGCTGACATCACGCCTTCTCCCCAACCCAAATCTGCAACCGCGCAAATGCACGGCAACTGCTCTCATTAAACAAAAACACATGAATTGCAATGTTGTTACTTTTGTTGTTGTGGTTGTTGTTGCTACGGCACGCCGCTTCTCTCTGTGAAAAGGACAGAGGTGAATTGTAAACATGCACATACAAATGGAGCGCTCCAGCCCTTTGAAACCACCACCACTACCACCAAACCACGAACTATCGAGCATGTGTGTGCATACGCAGACGCCGGTAAAAAAATATATAAAAATCTCTTCCAGGATAATCTGACATTGAAGCTGACACCGCTGAAACTGAAAGTGAACCTGCGCGCCGCGTAACAACCGCACCACACTCTGCCAAGGGCCTCGAGTGGTTCTTGTATGGGAATAATGAAAGAAAAATGAAAGTTTAATGCCTTGCTGCTGCGCGGGCCTGTTCAATGTAAATCTGAGTCGGAAGCTATGCCCCGTGCAGTGCGAGCACGTGGGGTGGCCGGGCTCGTGTCGTGCGCCAGGAGTGGTTCCTCACATCCTTTGCGCCATCAACTACCACCACCACCACCACTGCCACCGCTCTCGCATTACCTGAGCAGGTGGCCCATTGTGGCATGCAAAGCAGTACTTAGGGTAATTGCAAAGGCATGCCTATTTACAATTATAGCATTCGTACTGTATGGAGGGCAATTGTTCAAGATTCACAGCTGCGTTCTGTTGCGACAGAAACTAAATATGGAAGGAAAAAACATGAATTGCTGCTGAAACAATGATGCATGTCTATTTGATCTCTCCACCTCCTCCCCTCTCCCAACCTCTGTCGACCCAACAGCATAAACTATTTTACTAGGTAAGTCCCACGGAGCTATATAGCTCTTTTTCATAAGCGACCTGACCACAAATGATAGCTCAACCAAGTGGCTTGTCGCGTGGAAATGTATAGCAGCCAAATACTCTAAGCGCGTGTTTCTAAATGTGAAGGGGAAAAAAAAACAGAGGGCCCCGAGTAAAAGCCACGAGACCACGGGGAGAAATACATGCAAAGTATAAATATACAGGCGCCAGGGTCGGGATCGAACCCACGACCTCCTGTATACCAGGTGAGGCAGTTACCATATCGCCACCGTGGCACCCAAAAAAGGAGTAATAACACAGTCGATCCACAGATAAATTGTGGTTACTACCACCTCTTTTAGGACCCGCTGGCCAGCGTGGTAAAGCAGGCTCTAGAGCTGTGTAGAATGAAAGCGCTTTCACCGGCAGTGCTCTGAGCAGGAAATTGCAGGGCTGAACCTTCACATGTTTTACCTTCGCATAGGCTGCCTGGAAATAGCCTGCAAGCTAATTAGGAGGGGAGACGCAGTAGACAGTATGTAGAGCTGTTTATAACCTGGTATTTGCAAGACCATGAGCTTTAATGAAGCCGCTGTGGACTTATGAATCTAAATTCGTAATTTTTATTATATCATGCTAAAATAAAACCTATTTCCTGAAGGTGCCCAATATCTAAGGCTGTCAGTGCTATTTTAAAGCACACTTTTTACTTGTAGTTTTCCCGCTGAAGGCTATATTTTGTTAACACGTTTCAGGCCTCAAGGCAGTGTTTAGAAATAAGCATTTTAATATAAACAGGTATCTTGAAAAATTTCAACTCCCTCCTCTGGGTTTACATTTTTGTTTTGTTTGCACCTCGTAGATTAGAAGAAGTTGCGGTGTCATGCATAATTATCCAAATATATGTATTTTGTCATTGTAATGTGCAGTCAGTCTGTGATGGGGACATTATCGTTGTATACGAAGATTGTAGAGTAGATTAAACGTTAATTGCACGATGTAATCTGTAAAGATTCGTTATTATATCCGTGCGTGAGTGTTGCGCTCGATATACCTATGAAATACTCTTAGTTTTTTCGGTAAAGTCACGTAGGTAAAAAATGAAATAAAAATTAGTAATAATAGAAATACAATATTACTACTTTTATTAATTTTAATTTCATTTTTTACCTACGTGACTTTACCGAAAAAACTAAGAGTATGAATCCTTGCAGTCACGAAAGCTTCAAATCTGGAATACCTATGAAAGCCTTACTGAGTCTCAGGCCTCTCTTTCAGGAGATTCCTGCCAAACTTCTGCGGCAGGGCCACGTCTAAGATGTGGCCAATTTAGTAATTTGCACGTCATTTTTTCCATCCTTGAGATATCTGGACAATGGCAGTTATTTTGTAGTTTTTTTTTGCTTGTTACAGAAGGAAACCAGAGAAACTGACACCTTTTTTTACAAGGAGTCATGTTTGCATAGACCACAATACCTGCAGTCATAATGCAAACAAAAAACATATCTCTGATAATGTATGCACTGTCCTTGAAATTGATTGGTCCACACCCGAGACAGCTTTCCTTAGAGCCTAGTCTCACATGGGTTGGACCAGATGACGCCAAAAGGCGCCTTTTGCCAGATAGAAGGGTAAAAAAACAATTATCATATTTTTTACTGGCAAATGAGGTTCCAATGGTGAAACCAGAGAACATAGAGGAAACCCATACCCATGCAGAACAGCGGGAGGAGATGCAACCCCCACAAAGGCGCCCTAGTCGGGAATTAAACCCAGGCCCCTCTTAATGTGATTCAGAAGTGCGACAACTGCACACCATTCTATATGGAGAATGCAATGTGTATAGATGAAATCACCCGACAATATATATTTTTTTATCCTAAAATAAAATGTACAATCACATCACACGTTATAAGTTCTTGGATTCCATTTAAGGTAATCATAGTTTACAGATATTGATTATATACGCATGAAACACATGGAAGTAGAAAATATTTAAGTAATCTATTCTGGTAACGATAAATCAATAATCTTGAATTTATATCATTAAACTGAGACAAAAAGATAAGCCCAGAACTGCGGGATTATTGAATTATTGAGGCAATTTTTAGATCAATGAACAATTTAACCCAATTTATTAAACTGGGAAATTGTAGCAACAGCCTAGAAGGCTCAAACAATTATTTTGTTGGGTGTAAGTGACTGATTGCAAATATTTCACTTTGAACCGTCATGCGTCACGGTTTTTTGCCCTTCCAGTAAAATATTTCAATTAATTTTGAAATTAAATTGCAAGCCCAATACAGATTGTACAATCTGGACCCCTTAGGTATCGTGGCATGAGCTTCCTTTCCGCTCCTCCCCCCACCACCCGATTAAAACCTGAGCCCCCTCCCTTTTCACAACCCAGCGGGCCCACGGCAAGAGGCTGGGTCCTGGAACGACCGTCACGATTGGTCTTCCTTCTCAGTGACCCCTGGTGATACAGTCGATTTAACCTTGGCATCAGGCCGTCAACTCTCAGAGTAAGTATATCATTGTGTCTTTCGCTTTTTGCGCGTGTCCATCGGCAGCTATCACAACGCAAAGATGGTGCCAGCGATGTACACCTGTGTCCTTGGAGTTGATGAACCAATGTGATGATGATGGCAATAACAATGCAGATGATGACGACTCAGCGGTACGATCATCACCACCGCCACCACCATCAGGCGCAACATACACGTCTCTATGCCAATTATAAATGACAGGTGAATGGAGGAGAATTGCCCACCCTTTGTGAACTCCGCATCCAAGAGATTGCACTTTTGAAGATCGCTGCTGGTTGCGCGCCTCGCGCTGGCCTGGTGGCTGAACAACGAGGAAGCGTGGGTGCAAGTGACGAAGCCATACCATGAGGAAGACGCGCAGCATATGACCTCGGTCGTGCTCCAGCGGGGTAGGTTGCGTGGGTCCCCGAGGGCCCAACGGAGTCTGGGGTGGCGGCGCTGCCGCGGCAGAGGCTGCGTCGCGGGCGTGCACGTGGAAGTAGAACGTGCCGTTCGCGAGCCATGCCTGCTTCCAGTAGACGCGCGCGATCTCCTCGCTGGGGCCTGAGATTTCTGCGGACAAAGGTGGTGGGGGGTCGCGGTGGAGGGGAGGAAGTGAACATCGACGGATGACCTTTTGAGCACGTGGAAATGTGCGTGCTTGTGCAAAGACGCATTTAATTTGTTTAAATAATCGGCTGCGATGGGTATTTATGAGCCTACGTGGACTCGGCGGGGATGTTGCCATAGTTGTAGCGGTTAGCGCGTCGGACACGCGAGCCAGAGGTCACCGGTTCGATTTCCTGGAGCGTGGCAGTTGAGACAATGGTGCAAGTTTCGCAAATCCCACCGCCGCTTCGGTTCACCCAGCAGTAACAAAGGGGTCACCACGGACAGTCGATTGGCAGGTCACGTGTGGTGGGGTCAAGTATGTGTGTGTGTGTGTGTGCGCTCCCTCCTCTTCAAGTGTGTCTGGCCAGCGTGGAAGAGTAGGCCAAATGCTATATAGACGGGCTTTTTAGAGAGCCCTCTCCTGAAGCCCCTTCTGTCAGCAGTGAGCCATTCCAAGGAGGCACCTTAACCTTTTGTGGACTCTGAGTAATGACCTGCAGTGCCCCATGATAGGGCCCGAGTTAAGTACAGCACCACATATCTCTTACACAATACTTACATAAATTCCAGCCAGAAATTACCAATCGTTTCAATAAAAATACAAACTGTAGAGATACATTTCGTAAATCTGTCTCCAATGCACCCACTTGTAACCTGGTGTTCTCCGCCTTATATTTCTTTGAAAGTAAATAAAATGTTTAATTTATTCGTCAAATGTCGAAAATTGCAGGACCCTCAAGATTAAAGCACTGGGACTGAGCGAGGAATTTTTTGAGTGAGATTTTTTGCATAAATATTGGCCTAGTATGGTTGTAACTATTTGAAATACATAGCGCTGATGAAAATAAATAAATAAATTGCCATTATATAGGCCTGTATGTGTGTGTACTGTCAAGAATGGAGAACATACACTCATGCATGCCTTGTAAAAAAACAAAAAACGAAATTAGTTCCACAAATGGAAATGGCCACACTTTCCAGGTGAAGCGGTAACAACTCTCAATGTGAATTCCAAGTTTTAGCAATGCTTTGGGTGACTTGTTTTCAAAACGAAAACAGATTTGTGGTCAAAGGAAAGGCACTACAACAGGAGCCCAACTGCTGTCCCTTTTGAACATCATCCAAGAAAACTTCACTGGCATATCTGGAATACATTTAAGGTAATTATGAATGATCATTCTCATCTGGCACTTAACAATCCACCCCCCCCCCCCCCAGAGTCTGGTTACACAATATTAGAGTCGAGCCGCTAATTATAATACATGAAAATTATAATTGAGATTGACGTACATATATATATTCTGGGCTCGGGCTGGTACATAATTTATGCTTCGAAGACGTTGCCTTCTTAAGCAAATTTGCACCCAGAAAAAAAACACACAAATTCAGACTTCAACAAATTCTCCCACACTTTTGGTTCATTTTGCCTCCAAAACAGATGTGGAATGACAGAACGTTAATCAATTTACCTGCGTGTGTTTCACTTTTTCGTGACGCACTCCTTTTTTTGTCTCAAATGATTAATGTTCCCGAAATATGAAGACCTTTTTGGTAAATGCTGAAAAACGAATTCACCCCCGGCGGACGGAGATTGAGAAATATGTTTCCACCACTCAAATGCACCTCGACTGTGAGATGCTGAAAATAAACTCGCAGCTGTGATCACCTGTTCCTCTGTTTGTGATTTATACAGGAGCACGGTCATGCTTAGAGCTGCGGAAGCGAGCTCAAAACATTCACTCAGAATTGCTTAAACGTAGGCCTTACTCGCATGCGAAGGTGCTCATGTGTTGGGCATGCGAAAGCGCTCCCTTGCAAAAGGTGTGCACACTGTACACAGCCGTGGCACTCACGCTGTGGAGTCAAAAGAAATTATAATGGCGGTATTGGATTTCTATAGTTACTATTCTTTTCCGCAAGGCATTCTTGCAGCCTTGCACTTTTTCTATCAATTTGAGACTTGCACCTTCCACCCAAGTGCATTCGGGGTCATCAAGTCACCTTCTTTGGCCCATATATAAATTATTGCGGAGGTTGACACTAAACTGGGTGAAGGCTCGGCAATTCCTTAGCTCCCTGTCGAATTCACCCCACCCCCCCGCCGCCTCTATAAACCAACAACGGGACGCGTGCATCATGTGAACGTGCTGACAACATGCAAGCAACAACAACAAAATATCCGGCTTTGATTTGGCAAGGCCCACAGCTCACTTGGGTGTGTCAATGGTATCTCTGAAGGTCGCAAATACATGATCCGCAAATCACACTCCAATTTCGAATTCAGCGGCTTTTAGACGAGAGGGGTATGTAATTGACATTCAATTTGCTTGTAATGCGTGCGTTTGGATGGAAATAACCGCAGCGCATGTCTATGATTTAATTTTGCCTGATTATTTCGCGTGACTCAGGGCTGCCTCATACTGGGCGAATTTAGGAGATGCACATTCGTGTGACGCCTCATTTCATTGGGGTGTCATCGCCGCCGATGTCTGTGCGCGCAAGCCGGGCCCACACAATTCACGTTGGAATGATTTCCTTCGCGATGGGGAATTTCACCCCGAGATGCTGCACGTGGAGTTGGAAGACAACTTGGAGGCGCGCGCGCGCGCAAAGTTTTGCGAGTAAGGGGCATCCAGGGAGGGGAGGGTGGAGGTAGTCTCGTACATAGCGCTATAAATCCCAGATTTCACACACGATAACAACGGGGGGCGGGGAGGGGAGGGAGCGTCTTCTGATTGTCTTATTGGTGGCCGTGATGCTCGACTCGAAAAGGTACGTGAAGGCAGCCCAGGCACGCGTGGCACAAGCGGGGAGCCCCGTGACATTGCCATATCTTGTCATCGCGTAAACATGCAATCAATTCTCCAGATCGATTGGCCTCCCTCCTCTTATGGGAAAGAATTAGGCCCTGACTCGCGTAATAATTAAGCGTTCGCCAGCCCCCGAATTCGAGTGTAAAGGCGGCGGGGGGGGGGGGGAGAAGGGGGTGGTGGTGTGATTTGGGGGGGGGGGAGAAGGGGGTGGTGGGGTGATTTGGGGGGGAGGAGGAGGGGGGGGGGAATGAATGTTGGTGAAATAAGTGATTGATTATAGCGATGCCCGTGATGGTGATTACAGGAAGCGCGCTCAATTGGGCCCAGGTGTCTTTGGTGTGTGTGTGTGCGCATTGAAGGCCATCAATGCGCTCTCGGGGATAACGGAAACCGGGTTAAACGAGGCATGCATTTCGCGCTATTAACAACAACAACAGCAACATCAAAAACATCCGCGCACCAATGACGAAGTAAGGCGTCTCGGAGCTCTGCAGGTCGTCCACCACGGAAAGCTCCCCCGGGAAATCGCTTCGCACCGCCAGAGACACCTTCTCGCCAGCGTCCCAACCTCCGGGAGTCTGCCCGTCTCGCCGGGTGGCGCCCGCGGCGGGCACTCCGGACGCCGTCACCGTCTTGAGGCGGCACTGCTCGCCGCCACCGTGGGACTCGGCCGCGGGGTTCGCGGGGGATACAAAGGGGGTGCGGCTACCGAGGCAAGCGCCGCACAAAATGATCCAGAGGAAGGGCATTGCAGCGCTTGTCACGTAGCGACACCCGCGGCTCTCTTCTGAGCGCGCCGTCAGCACGCGGAAAGCAAGCCCGGCGGTTTTGCTCCACGCTGCAGACCCGGGGTCCCCTTTAGATCGCGGGGCGCGCAAGATTAGTGCTGCTATTTATTGGCAGTTACTGTCGCCGTAACTTCAATCGCAAGTCAATTTACTCGGACGATATACGGATCCAAAATTGTGCTGTGAATTGCGCTATATTTGTCGAGTTGCATGCCCTGCCTCCTTCTCCCCTCCTGCCTTTTGGAGAGCTTGCTGCAGCCGTGATCTGTAAGTACAAAGGTACACGGGTGCAGGCCGGATGTTGTTGTGCTGTTGTTGTTGTTGTGGTGCTTGTGGTGGTGGTGGTTTTGCTCGTGGTGGTGTCCTTTTGACTGAGCGCTTTGACCTGCAGGGAGGAACAAAAGTCGGAGTGTCAACACGCGGTCAGCTGGTGCACTCATCAGCATGCTCCAGTACCATGCCTTCACAATGCTGGCTATCGATGGCGTGTTTATGTTCAGAACACAATCTAAATACTCAACTGCGGTTGCTGCTGCTGTTGCTGTAAAGTTATTGTTGCGGCAATTCGATTATTCCACGCGTTAGCCGAGCTTTTGGCCCCCGTTCCAACCGAGGGAGAGACGCGCGCTGACATCGATGCATGCGGTGGCCAAACGCAACACGCTAACTCGCACGCCCCCCCCCCCCTTCAGGATTGCCCCCCCCCCCTACCAACACGACATAACCCAAACCTCAACCCCGACCCCGCTGCTACTCCTCTCTTCCAAATCCTGCAGTCCGGTTCAGTACGCGCTGCTAGCCTGGGTACGACTCCTAACTCCGGTCATCGGAGGCGCTGTCCCGAATCGATGAATGGACGCGCTGCGCGCATTTCGCGATCGTGCAGGGCTCGTCGCGAGACTCGGCTCGCGGCCTCCGCGTCGCACAGACACCCACGCGCCGGGCACCCCTGCGGTGCCGGCAGCAGAAGAGAGATCACGATCACTTACGCCGAAGCGATAAATAAGTGGCGCTCGCTCGCTCGCTCGCTAGCTAGCTCGCTGTCTCTCGCCCGTTCGCTTCTCTCTCGTTCGGCTCGCTCGCTTGCGCTCTCTCGGACTCTCGCTCTCGCTCGCACGCTCTCTCGCTCGCTCGCATATGATTGTGCAGAGCCGTGCGCGCGGAGCCTTACCTGTGACTTTGCGAGCGCAGATCGCTCAGTGAGCGAGTCCCCTTGTCCGTCGGATTTCACTCCCCCCCCCGACTCCCATTCCCCCACCCCACCTTGAATGAGCTGTCCGACGTGGCGACCGCGTTCTCCAGCGCAGGTACGTAGCGCGCGCGTGTGTGTGTGTCTGTGTGTGCGTGTGTCCTATGTGTGTGTGTCTGTGTGTGCGTACGTGCGTTCGCACACGTGTACCGCGAGTGTGGTAATGATATGCCGCGCGCGCGCGCGCGTGTGTACCACACTCCCGTCGGCTCACGCCGAGAGCTCGTACCGAACAATGTGAGGTTGTCTTGGCAGGGGGGGGGGGGTGGTTGCGAGACGAGCGATATTACTGGTCGCTATGAACGTGTCGCTTTACCGTTTGGCAATTCTGTGCGCATATTTACATTACGTCGTCTACTTTATTTTTTTAATTTTCGATTCTTCTTCTTGGTACTCGAATCTGTCCGCGTGGCCATCGATTGACCGACGGCTTATAAATATCGTCGATAGCGCATTGCATAGCACGGCGGCTACAGCGCGTTTGATTATAAAGCACGAGTCTATAGCAAAACAACAAAAAAAGACACCGCCACCACCGCACACCATCAAAAACAAACTTGCGCTGTGGACAAACGAGGAAAGATATTCTCTTTCTCTTTTTTGGACCCCTTGAAAGATGTGCAGCCACGTTTCGGAGCCGTACTTAATAACGCTCTTATTCGCTGTCACTCTCTCTCCCCGCCGTCTTCCACTCTCTCTCTCTCTTTCTCTCCAGAATCGATACTATAGGAGGCTATAGAGGGGAGGGAAGGCACAGGGGCGTGGGGGGTGTGGAGAGGAGAGCGAGCAGGGCAGGCGGGAGGGGGGGGTGAATTTTGGGACGAGAGTGCGGGGGCTGGGATTCTTGACCCCTTAGCCCGCAGACATCGCAGTCGTCATTTTATTTGTTCGGTTGGCTAGCGTTCACATCAAATCCCTCCCCGGCCATTTAGCAAGCTGGAGAGACAGCGAGGAGGCTGCTAGGAGCCAGCGAGACCGCGCGCCCGCGAGAAAGAGAGAGGGAGAGAGAGAAGCGGTGGAGAGAGACTCATTCACAGGGAGACCGAGAGGGGGGAGGCGCAGAGAGAGAGGAAAAAAAATAGAAAAATCCACAATCCTCAGCAAAGGACCCATTCGGCGATATTCGCAATCGCCGGCCCGCACTTCGCCACACGCTTGCTCGCGGCTCGTAAGGTTGTCTCGGCTGCAGACCGACTGGTAGGGCGAGAGTTAAAGTCACTACCGTGCCGGAGAAGAAGCCGAGGAAAAGCCAGAAGCAGAATAACAGACAAGCGGGCATCCACGCGAAGGAGGAAAAAGGGGTTCTTGGTGGATCGGAAGATTGTACGATTGTCCCCTGGATAACGCACGCCTCGCACACGTGTGTGTGTGTGCGTGCGTGTGTCTGCGCGTGCGTGCGCGCGGCTGGTATACGAGGCTTAGTGATCTGTTGTGGTGAGCGTGATGGACTGGAAATGACTTAATACCCTCTCGCCGTGTGCGCACAGCGCCAGTTGTCCAGCACCCCACGCGGCCCTTCCGACCTCTTGACGACACACAGAGAGAGAGAGATATCAGCTCTCCGCGTGGCATCCTGGATTGTGTTTGAATGCGCTCTCGGATGGGACCTCTGGCTCACAGCAGCAAACCCGAAATGTTAAGTTACCACTGCCACAGAGGTAAGGCCCGCACACTCGCTACACATGCAGAGATATATATATATAGAGAGAGAGAGGCATCGTAATAACGATGTGCACTGCGTATGATGTATGTATGCATGCATGCCCTTTCTTTTCGCGTCTCGTTTGTGCAGCTAATTATTATTCTCCGCAGAACTGCCAGTGAGTTGGTGAGAACCAACAGGCTCTGTTTGGCTACTTTATCTCCTACCCAATGTGATCAGCGGCAGGGTTGTGTGTGTGTTTTTCTGTTTACAAATGCTTTGCAACCGCGGTGGAATTCGTGTGTTGCATTCGCTGTCTGTGTTTATTTCGCGGAGGGACGGGGAGCACGATAACTCACCGGAAGATAATTTAACGTGAGCGAGAATGTTGTCTGTTTGCGTGTTTTGCTCACGGTGATTCTAGACAATTGAAAACTGGCCAACTTGATTAGCAAGGGTTGGTAAAAAAAATCGGAGGCTGCAACCGGACCATAAACGGGCTGTTTTGTGAATAAGCAAAGGCTTTTTTTTTTGCACTGGCAGCGAAACTACCTATTATCAGCCAATGCAATACCTCGCAGGGCATATATATGTCAGAGGAAGCGTTCCGTACTATATCATGCGTGTGCATTATTTTTTTTCTAACTTGTTTTTTTGTCGGATCAGCCCAACCGAGAGGGTGGCAAAGAGGCAAAGACAAAGACCCCCCGTATAGCCTCAATAGACGTGTGGGCCAAGTGCTATTAGCGAGCATCTATGAAGGTCGCCACGGCACAAGAGGGGGTGGCTAGCACCACGCCCGTCCGCCTTTGTCTCTCTCATGCCGATGTTTACACCGCACCAGGTACTCGTGTTAAGGCTGAGTCGACCTTCGGGTGGCCCAGTACAGGTTCCGATAGTTAATTCGTCGCTAATGTTGGCCGTGAGTGGGAATCGAACTGTGGGGGGTCCGGGTTCGTGGCGCAGTGCGCTAACCACTACACGACCGCTCTGGGTGAATGCGTGCGCACACACACACCACTTGTGCGGGCAAGCTGTTGTAGTCAGCATTTTGTCTGCCGAGTAAGACGAGTGATTAGTATGAATTGTTAACGTGTGCGACGCAAGGGTGGAGATGTATCTGTGCGCGTGTGTGTGTGTTTTATTAGTGGGGAGTGGTAGTGTGTTTGTTATCACGCCGCGCGACGAAACCGGCAACCCGGGTTCGATTCCCGCTCACGGCCATACACCATCGGTGATGATTATCTGAACCGGTCCTGGGCCTCTCCTAGGTCGACTCGGCTTCAAACGAGTACCTAGTGCGATGTGTAAAATTATTTCCACTCGGGAGACAAAGGCGGCCGGGCGTGGTGTTGACCACCCACCCCCTCTTGTGCCGTGCCAGCCTTCATAGGTGCTCGCTAACAGCAGTTTCCCCAACAGTCTGTTCAGGCTATACGGGGGATATGCTCCTTTATTTGATTATTACCGCTCTTAGTGTCATGCAAAGCACGCGGGTCGCATAAACCAACACCTGTGACCATTTTTCGAACAGCTGCGTTCTTGAGATAAACGTGTAATAAATTACACGCCCTAAGCCATTACAGTGCTCCTATCGAGTTATTTAAAACAATTGCGTTCACACGTTGTATTTATTACGACTGTGCGATAGCCTGCGTCCACATCACCTTTCACATTAGGCCAGGACTCTTTCAGATATACACACATGAGAGACATTTATTTGTGCGGGGAATAAGGAGCATTGCCCGAAACGTCGCCTATTATATTCATCACCTTAGCGCGGTGTTCGTGACGAATGTGAGAGTTTTTTTGTGTGAAATACAAATTATCTCGTACTATAATTATGTTTTAGGGTGAAGATAATGGATTTTAACACGAGCAGAGAAGAACTCAACTTAAAAAATTAAGGCAGTCACACTATCCACGCGTCGTTTAAACGTAATGAATGTTCATTTGGCTGCTGCTTTATGGAGCAGCCTTCTACACACTTTGCCAAAATGAAGAGCGTCGGTTAAGATGTCTCGTACGATTCAAGCGTCCGTGCGAAATGCGGTTAACATTTCAGAACGATGGGCACTTTAAACCCACCGCGTTATTTCATGTTGGCGAGTGAGAAAGACAGAGACCGAGAGAAACGCGAAATGAGCCACCGTCTCTTATAATCGGGCAATGCAAATTCCCAATTGTTGCGGCGGATGAAATGTTGAGTTCACCAGTCGCATGCGTCAATGCGTGTTGCCATATCTCATGCACATAACCCTCTGGGGCCCGACGATAATTCGCCTTTCAACGTCCCCTGTGTTTTAATCCGAGGCGACGCGGCCTTTCGAGGATCGTGCATTTTGGCTTTTTTGTTTTGGGCGAGCTCAGAAGCGGGAAAGCAACTTAGGTCATTGACCGTGCAACGCTGCCCGCACAGTGCAGCAGTCACGATTGCATGGCGAATACATGGACATGGCAGTAATATATAGACGGCTAAACAAACAAAAAAAATTCGATTTAAAGCTTTCGTGACTGCAGGGATTCATCTTCTTGGTTCTTTCGGTAAAGTCACGTAGAAGGGACGTAATAAAATAATAAAAATAAAACATAATAAAATAATTCTCACGACGTTTCGGCCACAACGCAAGCAGCCGTCCTCGGGTGTTTCATTCAGACGCTGTCTCCCCGACAGACTTGGTTTTCACCTGAGGACGGCTGCTTGCGTTGTGGCCGAAACGTCGTGAGAATTATTTTATTATGTTTTATTTTTATTATTTTATTACTTCCCTTCTACGTGACTTTACCGAAAGAACCAAGAAGATGAAAAAAAAAATTCGGCTATTCTCCAATTAGCTCAGCCTCTTCACAACGCTACATCTTAGATTTACAAAAAAAAAGAGGGATGAGGGGGGGGGGAATTAATCACTGCTCTCTCCATACAGACACCGCTCACACGGCGCGGTCGTTTGTGCCACTTTGAACCGCACGCGAATTGCTTAGAGGATCATGCAAATGCGCAACGGGCCCGGAATTTTGGCACGCGCGGAGTTTTGCGCGTTGAGAGAAGGCGAGGAAGAATAGCGGCACGTCGATGAGCTTGTGAAGATGGCTTTGTGCGCTTGGAGAGCGAGAGAGCGAGAGAGCAGAAAGCTGGTGGAAGGGAGTTGGGGGAAGTGGATGGGTGAGAGGAATGGGCTCTTCTCAAGAGACTGACAACAAGTATAACCCGTAAAAACAAAGTTTTTCACTATAAATCCTTTATATGCGTGGCGGCTAGAGTCCTCTCGTCCTCCGGCTTGAGATGGCTGCCACCTATGGGTCAGATGATTGCATTGCACCATTAAGCAATTGGTAATTAAATATAATATTTTTGTCCTAAAAAGTGTAAAATTTTGGAGAAAAAAAATTGACGAACATTAATTGTCACGCACAACGAGTCTGTGTGGAAAATGTCAGCTCGATTGGATCACGGGAAGTGGGTTTAAAAACGACCGAAAGATTTGCACGGTCCTAAGCAAGCAAGCGAACTTAATATAAAGGATTTAAAAATGGTGGATGGGGGTGGTGGTGGTCGTGTTCAGTGTGGGGGGCTAAGGGCGGATTTGGGATGGCAGAGAGAAGCCGCTTCGACTTGGCTCACCGAGCCACAGTCAGCGCCGCGAGCTGCTGCGAATAAAAATCACGTTTCGAAAGGATGGGGGAGGAGGGGGCGGGCATCGATTGGGCTCATAAAATTCACATTCATTTTTTTGCGGGAAACTGGCATAAATCAATTGAGAGACTGACTTTGTTTAAGCTACTCACCGTAATTATAATCTGAGGTATGATGGCTCTGAAATGTAGCGACCCTGCAGTGGCAACGCGTCATCAGCTTCTTGTAGCTACGTCGTGGTCCAGTGCGGGGTGTTCGATTTGCGAGCACGATATAGGGATTGTTATACTTACGAACTTTCAGAGATACGAGCAAACCTGTCCGTATGTCCAGTTGCCTTCTCGGACCGAGAGCTGCAAGTTCAACCGCCTCGCACATAGATGCCGGTGGTGGCATCTGCATCTGCAGAACGTGACGAACCAGCAGAATCTACATCTACTGGAGATTATACAACTTTTAAAGCCATTCCCTGT